GTGACTGTTTTATGTCATACAAATCAATGAGAGACTGCTCTAACGCCCATAACAGAGACGTTTTCATATTTTTTTGAATGCTAGCCAATGCCTTCATGTCTGCTTTGGCGTAATCTGGGGATAAACGAATCAAAAGTCTGCCACTGTGTCTCTTTTGTTTGATTCTTCTCTTGCACTTTTCATTCTGCTTATCTAGAGTTGTAAAATGCTCTTTTTTTTCTCTTGGTGGTGATCTGTTCTTTTAGTCGGTGGGAGATTGTGAGGGTTTGTCCCTCAGGCTATGTTTGTACCTGTTTCGGTGTTCTCGTGTGCGTGTGTTCATGTCTGTATTGTCGTGCCTAGTGTGGATCAATCGCATGCTTTAGCCCTTGATGGGACACTTTGAGAAAACGTTGCTCACAGACTCTTCCCACAGCCCCCTAGTGGACAGTACATGAGCATCAGCAATCCTTGTAAAGACGTCAAGGGAACCAAATAGCTCTACAGATTTACCATGTGTGTTACCAGCTCTGTACTGAAACAAATGAGGAAAATAAAGGCCTTTTAATTACACTTAACTCTGATCGTGGTGTTATTATGTTAACACTGAATTCCTTCTGTTTGCTTGCTTTATGTTTGACCCACAATTACAACTCTGAAGGTGTAAGCCTTGTTTTGTGGTTTCAGAAGCAGATATTTAATAAAAGGTGGTAAGAGCGACTTCAAAAACCCTTGTATTTTCCAAGTATACTTAATGTAGTAAGTATACTATTATCTATGTACTTGTAGTGTACTTGTATGTGTACGATTTCAATTCATTTCAAACCTCTTGGGACTAAATTTGCCCCCTTTTTAGTTAATGAAAGTGTACTTTAAGTGTAGCAGTAGTAAACTGAATACACAACTAGTTTCTAAGTGCTTCTTTAGTATTGCTGCTATCCTAATAAACTTTGTGTACGTTTGGTTTACTACACTTTTAAAAATTGCTGGGTTTGTCCCAATTTTACCCAGCACTGGGTTGTATTTAACCCAGCATTTTTTAGAGTGTAGTTCTAGTCGACAGTTTATGAAAGTACACATTGAAATATATACTACTAGTTTAATAGTTTTTATGCAGCAAGTCTTCTTTAACTGAAATTAATATATAACTATATGCTGTATATTATGTTATTTACGTGTAGTATGAAAACTATTAAACTAGTAGTTTACTGGGAGTATTCTTTAGTGTGTTCTCAAAGAAAAAAAATTGGGTTGGAATTATATAACTAGTAAACTAACAGTATGTTCAAGCTCACTTGTAGTGTAGTTGTGTACAGTTACTGCACTACATTACACTAATTTACTCCCAATTTACTCATTATTTTACTCTCAAGTATTGAAATAGTACATGTACAAGTATACTGCTATTCTACTGGTGTTAGTATATTTAGTACAAACAAATATATACTTGGAAAATAAACTTTAGTTAAAATAAAATTAACTTTTTAAAGTCTTTTGTAGGTCTGATAAGAAATGACTACTTGATGGAACGTATACATATCTGGCATTACACGTGAATTAAAAATAAATTGTTCATAAGAACACTAAAGGCAGGAAATACATTTCAGTGAAGTGTAAAATGAAAATGGTGGAACCTGGGATAATGCTGTGATGATCATGCAGTCAGGCAGGGGGCAGCACGGCACCTAAAAAGGCACTTGACTACATTATCTGTATTTTACAGTGTGTTTTTAATACTCAGGCAAACAACAAACACAATCATAAACAAAGTGCTGTGAGCATTGGTTCAAGATTACAGGTTAAAAACTGTGGACAATGAAAAGCATCTGAAATGGCATATTATGTGTGATGTGTTTCTGTTTTATCCATATAGATACTATTAATTACGATCAAATAAATATAACACACATTCAATGGTTCCACGTATCCATTCTTCAGCCCATCAGTTCATATATAAATACTACAATTGTAAAGGTAACCAGGACAAATGGGTTGATATGTGGAGCGTGACATCATCTCTCGGTGGGAACATTCCTTTTAGAATGTTCTGGCAGAGCTTCTGAAGAGCATACTGGACCATATTAGACCAACTGACAGCTTCTGGGTAATTCGATTGGATTGATGATCAAATACTATTTAAAGGAATGGCAGTTTGTTCAGCTTTTCCCTGCTGAAAAGACCAGAACAGTCGGTGACCAACGTTGTGGTTTGGCTGCTTAGCTTATCCATAGTGTGCTGGTGTTCCTACAAGGAGCTTCTTTACGAGCAAGAGTCTTCTAGTCAGCCAGCTTCATCAGAAACCTAGTTGACCAGCCTCACAAACTCATTTTTGCTGGTCAAGAGAATCTTTATGCTGGTTCCACAGCGGCAATCTGGTTCCAAAAAGGGGTTTTCACGCCAAAGAAGAACCATTTTGGGTTCCCCAAAGTACCTTTACATTTTATTTTAGAACTGTTCTAAAAAGAAAAGATTTTTCCTTAGTGTGAAAAACATTTTTAAGAAACGTTTGTGAAATGGAACGATTCCATGGATGTTAACGGTTCTCTGTGGAACCATCAATGCCAATAAAGAACCTTTATCTTTAGGACTTTTAAACCAGCCTGGGCCAGCATGGACATTTTCTGTTGTTTTCAGCAGGGATTCGATCATCTTCTACACTGATCCTAAAACATTTAGAGTTTAGAAATGGCTAACGGTGAGAAAACATTCAATTGATTGGATGTTTCTGTGGGAGAAACACCAACACTGTTCCTATAGAGTGTTATTGGAGTACCCTATACTACAAAACCAGGTCAACCCAGGTTAAGGTGGTGAAACCGGTTAGCTAACACTGTTAACCAACTCAGCCAGGCCTTCACCAGCGAAATGGATGATCAGCTCTAACCAGGTCAATTATGATGGATGAACTCAGTCCTGTCAGTCAACCACCTAAACCAGCTAGAAATGATGTAAATCCAGCTACCACCTTATTTTGTAAGAGAGTGGATACCTACTTTCTTCTGTGTAACACAAAAGAAAATATTTCGAAGCATTTTGGTAACCAAACCGTTTTGGTGACCACTGGATTATATTGTGTGAACAAAAAAGACTGAGACGGTTCTCAAAATATCTTCTTTTGTGTTCCACAGAAGAGTGAAAGCCGTACCGGTTTGTAATGACATGAGCGAGTAAATTATGACAGAATTCTTTTTTGGTGAGCCAATCTCTTTAACCCTGGAGCCGATGCACCAAGAGCAAGGGCCGACACAAACCATTATCCAGCATGACAATGGTCAGTTTGAAGTCAATGTGAAGTTCTCAGATTTGGTGTCTCTCTGTTCAGTGTTTCTCCTACCCTCCAACCGGTCGTCCTCACTTGGAAAGTTTGCTGATGACTCTGATTAAGGCTCCATTCTCATCTTTCAGCCGCTGGTTATCAGACTTGAGTTCTGTCAAAACCTGAGATTAATTAAAGGTGAGAATGAGAGAGAAGAATGCTTTTGATTATTAACTTAAATATTTAGTGGTCACGTGGCGTCAAATTCATGCGATGGCAAGGCACCATATATTAAAATAGTTCTTCTAGACCACAGATTCATTTCTTTGGGTATAAATCATTTTATGAGAGAAATAGATGTAATAAAGCATGCAAACATTGCTAGACCATAACACCACAGAATATGATTTTCAAATTCACCTTTCTAAAGGAATGGCAGCTGGCAGTGGCATATGAATGTGTACTCATGCATAGAGGTTCACCTCCTCCTACTCCAGTAAAAAAGCATTGCCAGAACTACAAAAGCTTTAACAGAAGTGCACAGAATGTCCAACCATTGGATACAACAACAAAGCTTTTTTTTGTGCTCCATTTTAGAAATAACCAGCACACACACACAGAGGCTCACAGCAACGTGGACAGTTCTGGCTTTCTGAATATGAGTAGGATACAAATTCATGTCCTGCTACAGTTTTAAGCAATAAAGGCACAAAAAAGAGAAAACTATTAGATATGTAAGATAAATCAATATCTAATATGATTTACATGGCATGTAAACTGCATTAAAGATTTTGGCCTGTCAGTGGTCTTGACCCTCAACTAAATCCAACAATTAAAATCATTATTCATTGTAAAATCAACTGCTGAATTGCAATAAATTACTTGAGAAAATAATTTCCATATGTTATCAAAAACATAACCTAATATTTTCAATAATAATTAACCCATATTTTGTAAATTTATGATTTTTGTTTTTAAATTATTTGTATCTTTTTTTATTGTTATCTGTTTGTAACATAGACATCCAATAGTCTGTAATGTCATTTATAACCAGCGAGTTACATACTATATCAGTATTCTATTTTAGTTTCATTTTTACAATTATTTGTATGTTTATTTTTTTATTGCTATCCGTGTAATACAGGCATCCAATAGTCTGTAATGTCATTTATAACCAGTGAGTAGATGTGTTGACAGAGACTAGAATGTGACAATACAGAGGCTGTGATTTGATTTGGACATTGCTGGAGTATAGAGACCTTTGGTCATTGGTTTGGAAGATCTATAAATATCTTCAAAGCCGCCGCCTGCAGGAGGAATGTGAGGGGTTGCCCTTCCCCAGACCCAGGAGAGAAACAGGGAGAAAGAAAGAAGGGGTGAAAAAGCTTTCCCAATGCAAGGAATGAAACAGAGAGACCTGCCTGAGAGGTGAGCAGCAGCGGGACAGAGGGGGAGGACTACAGGGTGCAGCGGAGAACAGGAAGGAGGAAAGGACAGAGAGAGATAGAGAGGGGTACTAGAGATCGTCCGTCTCGGGGAGAGAGGCCGTCTGAGTGAGGCGAGCGAGGGAGCGCAGCATGGCTTGATTCTCCTGTAGGAGGCGTGCGTTCCCCCTGCGGAGAGCCTGTAGTCGAGCCAGAGCGGGAAAGGTCTGAAGATACAGAGAGGCCCGAAATCATGACGGCGAGAGTGAAAGAACATCAGAGAGGGTTTGGGAACAAAAATTAACAGCATTAGTGTGTCTGAATTAGTTAAAACAAAGTCAACATGAAATCAAACTTTATTTTTACACATTCTTATTGTGTTTCTAATTCATCTTTGCACATTATTCACGAGAAAAGTGTTTTATAATTGTTCATCCAAATGTTACGGTGGACCAGAAGTGCATATTTCGAAGAATGTTGGTAACCAAACAGTTCCAGTTCCAATTGACTTCCATTACATGGACAAAAAAAAGACAATAGAAGTAAATGGGAACCAAAACAGTTTGATTAACAATCTTCAAAATATCTTTGTTGTGTTCTGAAGAAGAAAGAAATGCATACAGGTTTGGAAGTTCATTGTTTGGCTGAACTATCTCTTAAAGTGCCCCTATTATGCCATTTTTAAGGTTGCTAATATTGTTTTATGACGTAGAGCCGTAACAGAATAAGATTCGAATTTCTGACGACTCGTTTAGGCGATTGCGAGCCGACTCTTTTTTTTTTTTTGATAGACGATAACTTTATTTATCGTGCACTGTCGGCTTCACAACTTTGCAGATAGTTTATGTTCACATACAGCTACATGACACACTACATGAAAGGTAATATTCGAAAAGGCATAATAGGGGCACTTTAAACTAACCTTAAATTCAGCTACTTATTGATGCAAGAATCTTTCATTTATATAATGCAACGCTTCCTTCAATTATCCATATCTTTGGTTCTGCTTGAATTAAGCTCTGTTAAAGTTGAATATGCCAAGTCAGAATTTCTCTACCACCTGAAAGGGGTGCATTAAATCTGACAAAGTGGTTTAATAAAGTGTCCAGTGGTCTAAGGACATCAAATTATATATTGTACCAATCTTTTTTTAATGGAATCTTGAACTTTGCATACAATAATTACTACTTTTGAATGAGCCAATCAGTTTGAGTCAGCCTTTCTCTGCCCTCTTCAGTTGTGCAGTAAATCTAACATGCTGGCATCATGCATTTTCTAACAGTCTTGAAAATTCCAAGTTTTGAACACGTTTACTGTGCCAATATTGTTTTTATAATCACTTAAACATCCCATATGGGACAATACATATGAGGAATCCTATTTCACCATCAGCCCATTTCGTGGCGCTGTTTCTCAACCACAGTAGAGAGCATGTTAAAGTTAACGTAAGTGCTTCATACAAGTTAAAATGGCCTTACAAAATCTAAATTGAACAGTTTTGACTGTACCAATCTTTTTTTATGAGCACTTGAATTTGGGACAATACACAATACGCAGATCCACTTATTGCTCATTCAGGCCAATTTGCTGTGCCATTTCTCAGTCACCATAAAAAATGGGCTAAAGATAACTTATAGGTTTTATACTAGATGTAATAGACTAAAGAGATTCGAATTTTCAACCGTTTTTACTGTACCAGTCTTTTTTTATGGACCCCTTTTTACAGGCACTTGAACTGTTAGCCCAAACTTTATCAGGTTAATTCTGGATGGCTTACAACCCAGGCAAAAAACCCTTTATATGGCCACATTTAACTGTAAATATAAGTATTTACATAATTATAATATGAATCTTGTTTTACTCGTAAATGTCACATTACAAAAGTAAAGTGCGTATTTCATGTTGACTTTAGAACGGGAATAGAAATATAAGCATGCAAAGACAATCAGGTGATAACATAAATCAAATGTTGGATAAACTTACTAACACACAGCACATGCAACTATAGTCATTCACAAAAAAGGATAAGGAGGACAAGCCTGCAAACATCTCCTTGACCACTTACTTAAAATCAAATCAAGTTTTTAATTATTGGAGGTCTTTTAAAAAGTAGAAATCACCACTATTTTCTTGCATAAAAACCTCGCACTGTGCAGTGAGGAGATTAATGAGTGGCCAACCTCAGAAACTTCCTGAACCAGCATGTGGAGAAACCCTGAGGTTTGACACCGTTTCCAAACGTGGTTTCACGGCTTAGGGATCTGGGACCAGGCCATTGAGTTTCTCCAATGCATGAAAAACCAACAGAGAACTGCGAGGCATCCAGCATCCGTTCATAGCTCTTTCATGATTCATTGTTATGTCTCTACAAAGAGCGTCTGCAGCCAGATATCTGAATGGTTAACTATGAAATGACGTACTGCTTTGACACACAGAGGTTGGCATGTCTTATCAGCCAGCACAGACAGTCAGTACAAGTGCTGTTTTGCTTCAAGTCATGACTCAATTTGTCACAACATGGCTTCTAGATGGTGTTGAGGACAAACGGCTCTCGGCTCTTTCTGCTGAGCCATTCCTTACTCAGTAGAATTCCATTACTAGTAGCCTATGCAGCATAGCCTGCTATCTAACCTAAAGCAACATCCTTCAGAAAAAAATCCATTTGACACACTCAACATAGCAAGACATGACTTGCTAACAGCTGTTTTCAGTCCACTTGTTAGGTCTGATGTTACACGTCACCGTTTCTGGGTCCAGTTGATCCCAAATGCTTAAAAAAGGGCTAATATACATTCACAGTGTGCTGTAATACTATTGAAAAATTATAATCCTAACCTATAATAATTCTAAACTGACACTTAAGAGTTCTTAAAAGGTGTGCTATAAATAAATTGAGCACAAAAGAGTTTGCAGTTAGCATGTTGCTTCTAATGTCCTTCTAAACAAACTATAAGTTAATTAATAAGGCATTTGCATAACAACTGTTACTTGTTGCATAGGGTGCTGTAGTGATGGCATATTTTTACACAAACCGATAAGTTCGTATCACCCTGATTTCCCTGGCAAGCAATATGATTTTTCCTCTGGCTTTGGCTTTTTGGGTTATTTTTGGAGTTTTATGATTCTTATCTTTGGATTCTTATGATTCATTTTATTCATCATTTATGAATTTTGAAATCTAAATACAATCACCAGTAGTCCCATTTAGCCACTTGTTAGCATACAAATTTGGGGGGGATTTCTGACACATTTTATGTCGCAGAATGAAACGTGAAAATATCTAGAGCTTGTGTGAACCACAGAACCTATTTCAGGCATTTAATCAAAAACCTATTTTAAAAAACCCATTGACTTTGGAACGATGGAACCAAAAGTGTTAAAATTCAAACTCATTTCCAGGTTTTGGCCTACAAAAATATGTAATCCCTGCAGCACTCCATTGTGATTTTGTTTACTGACTACTCAAATTACACAGATTCATTTTGGCGTTAATAGTGTTGCCACAGAGACGCATAATTCCAAGTCTGAGGACATGAACAGCTCAGAGTAGGACGTCCTGGGTCATCTAGTAATTAGGGTAATCACGATATAAACACAGCATTTATAATCAAGATTATGTTTGACTCAGCCATTTGGATCATTGCTATTTTGAGAGCATCACAGAAAAAAAGAGAGTATGGATACAAATCTGTGACTAAGAGTGATCTACATGACCCACGCCGTGTTGTAATGGGTGTGTTTTGGTGTGCGTGAGCAGGCAACCACGCGTGGGACAAAACCACTCACCATCTGCCCTTCTTTCACCCAGTCCAGCTGAGGATGAACTCAGGGCTGGTAGCGAAACCTCACTGAGGGCGTCTGCTGGGGCAACAGTGACATCACTGATCAAACAAACACAAGTGCACCTCATTTCTCATGGTCTTAAGCTCGATGAAGTGAGAGTCTGTCAGACCTGCCAATCAGTGTTTGAAAAGCTTCATAAATAAACACTATTAAAAAAGGTTATTTAATGGTATTGATGGTTCCATCAAGAATCTTTAACATTTATGGAACATTGCAAAAAAGATTCTTTATAGTGGATAAAGGTTCTTTTGATTTTTTTAAAAGGTTCTTCGGACCACCTAAGATGTAAGTGACTTTTTTTCTTGGGTAGAGCAGTAAAGAAGATTTTTAGCTGAAACTGTGGTGCTGAAGTCAATGGCTACCGTCACTTTGAGAGTCAAAAAAAAGCATATCAAGCAACATAAAATTAATACCCATGGCTCTTGACAATATATTGAGATCATATGAAGCGAAACAATCGGACTGAGCAAGAAACGGAACATTATTTACAACATTACTGCCTGTAACCCAGAGCCTCAGACAAAGAGGGAAATTAGATTCTTTTGTGCAAACTGGTTCTTTTGGACAGTTTGTTTCAATGAACTGGTTAAAAAAACTGATTCACCAGTTTGTTTACATAACGCAATTATATTATTAAAGCCCCCAATAATGATATGAAACATGGATGTTTTACATGCATATAAAGTGAATAAAGTAGTTTAATCAACTCACCTTTTTACAGAGAGGTCCAAGCTGGAACTGTTTTTTTTTTCAGTTCAGTGACTGTTGGAGTAACTGGAGTTGGCAAAAACCAGCATTATATAATCATATATCATATTTTGGCTCATTTCAAGTCGGAGTGACTGCCAGGGACATCCGACAGTGAGATTTGATTGAGTAACTTGTAGATCTGTGCTGCTCGAGCCGCAAACTGTTCCTGCAGCACTCCATTGTGATTTTGTTTACTGACTACTCAAATTACACAGATTCATTTTGGCGTTAATAGTGTTGCCACAGAGACGCATAATTCCAAGTCTGAGGACATGAACAGCTCAGAGTAGGACGTCCTGGGTCATCTAGTAATTAGGGTAATCACGATATAAACACAGCATTTATAATCAAGATTATGTTTGACTCAGCCATTTGGATCATTGCTATTTTGAGAGCATCACAGAAAAAAAGAGAGTATGGATACAAATCTGTGACTAAGAGTGATCTACATGACCCACGCCGTGTTGTAATGGGTGTGTTTTGGTGTGCGTGAGCAGGCAACCACGCGTGGGACAAAACCACTCACCATCTGCCCTTCTTTCACCCAGTCCAGCTGAGGATGAACTCAGGGCTGGTAGCGAAACCTCACTGAGGGCGTCTGCTGGGGCAACAGTGACATCACTGATCAAACAAACACAAGTGCACCTCATTTCTCATGGTCTTAAGCTCGATGAAGTGAGAGTCTGTCAGACCTGCCAATCAGTGTTTGAAAAGCTTCATAAATAAACACTATTAAAAAAGGTTATTTAATGGTATTGATGGTTCCATCAAGAATCTTTAACATTTATGGAACATTGCAAAAAAGATTCTTTATAGTGGATAAAGGTTCTTTTGATTTTTTTAAAAGGTTCTTCGGACCACCTAAGATGTAAGTGACTTTTTTTCTTGGGTAGAGCAGTAAAGAAGATTTTTAGCTGAAACTGTGGTGCTGAAGTCAATGGCTACCGTCACTTTGAGAGTCAAAAAAAAGCATATCAAGCAACATAAAATTAATACCCATGGCTCTTGACAATATATTGAGATCATATGAAGCGAAACAATCGGACTGAGCAAGAAACGGAACATTATTTACAACATTACTGCCTGTAACCCAGAGCCTCAGACAAAGAGGGAAATTAGATTATTTTGTGCAAACTGGTTCTTTTGGACAGTTTGTTTCAATGAACTGGTTAAAAAAACTGATTCACCAGTTTGTTTACATAACGCAATTATATTATTAAAGCCCCCAATAATGATATGAAACATGGATGTTTTACATGCATATAAAGTGAATAAAGTAGTTTAATCAACTCACCTTTTTACAGAGAGGTCCAAGCTGGAACTGTTTTTTTTTTCAGTTCAGTGACTGTTGGAGTAACTGGAGTTGGCAAAAACCAGCATTATATAATCATATATCATATTTTGGCTCATTTCAAGTCAGAGTGACTGCCAGGGACATCCGACAGTGAGATTTGATTGAGTAACTTGTAGATCTGTGCTGCTCGAGCTGCAAACTGTTTCAGAGGCTTCAATCCGATTTGGTGAACTGGTTTATAGTTCACTAAAAAGAACCAGTTCAAAAGAATGATTCGTTCGTGAACCGGACATCACTCTAGACCGTTTGTCTGAGGCTCTGGATTACAGGTCATAATCTTGTAAATAATGTTTGGTTTCTTTCACAGACTGATGGTTTCATTTTATAGGACCTCAATATATATCGTCAGGAGCCATGGGTATTAATTTTGTGTTGCCTGATATGCTTTTTTTGCCTCTCAAAGTGACGGTAGCCATTAACTTGCATTTTATGAATCACCAAGGACCACGGTTTCAGCTAAAACATCTTCTTTACAGTTCTACTGAAGAAAAAAATTCACCTACATCTTGAATGGTCTGAGAGTATAGGCAAATTAACAGCAAATTTTCATTTTTGGTTCAACTGTCCACTAAAAGATTCCTTGGGAAACCAAAATGGTTCTTCTATGGAATCGTTGTGAAAACCCCCTCTTGGAACCCTTATTTTTTAAGAGTGTATTTTATTCCCTCCATGGTATTCTGAAGCTAAAGCTGTTTGCATATTTGCAATGTAAATAGCAATGCCATCCGCATGTCTTGCCTGAATCTAATCAACTTTGAACTAATCAGAGTCAAAACACCCCAGAAACCTTGTTACCTCAATTGCAACATGGATCAATTATCCGACTGAGCCTGGCAGACTACAGCAGCCGCAGATATCTAATCTGCCTCACATTGATTTGGCTTTTCATATATTTGGCACCGTGTTCTTCTTGGCCCATCAAAATGCCAGCTATGTGCAATTACTGCTGGAATGCTGAACAAAAGCCGTGCCGTGTCTCTGTGCTGGATTCAGTCCGGCCCTGGCGTTGCTTGAACTAGGTCACCGTGTACTGCTGCAGCTGTGAGATGCTACAGAGCCAAGAGTAGTGGCCATGACTTTGGTGTGGGCTAGTAGCGAGCATTGTGGCGTCTGAGATTGGCTAACATGGGTCAAAACAGGCATGGTAGTTACACTAGCTGTTAAAAATTATTAGTGATCTAACCTTTTCAAGAGTTCATTCAAACAAACTGCCGTAGTTAGCATCTTTGAACATGCTTTCAAAAGTCTCCCCAACTCAGGTTCAGAATAACACGACAAAACCACATTTAATAAACATTCTTTTTTTACCTTTAATTCTTCTTCCATGTCCGAAACCCTCTTCTCCAATGCTTCTTTTTCCTACACAAGCACATGAAAAAAAAAAAGATACTATTACGATTTTTTTAAATAATCTATAAAACAAAAATAATTGTTTGAATTATTTTTTTAATATGATACATTTTTATATTTATATCTTTTAAATAATTCATATGTTTTATATTTATCCAGATGTAGCAATTAAATAATTATTTAAATTAAATTAAATTAAATTAAATTAAATTAAATTAAATTAAATTTAATTGAATTGAATTGGATTGGAAACATGGGTTATTGAGCTACTATGAGGATGAATATCAGTTCAAGATCGTAGCCAACATTGAAGAGAAACACTGAAATTTCTCAGAAAGTGTCAATAATGATTATATAATGATAACATATACCCTTTTTTCTGATTCAAATACAGTGGACCTCTCTGATATTCTGTCCTGCCTCTGAAAAACATTCACGGAAAGATTAATGAGCAAAAGAGAATAAATGTACATAGAAACAAAACTGTAAAGCGATAAAATAACACTGTAAAGTCATATTCAAAGCAAAATATGCAAAAACATAATAATCTGAATGTTTTAATAAGCAATTACTGCTGGACCAGTATCTAGATATATTATTGGCTTTTCACAGATTATAATTCCTTACAGATGCTGTGAGCTACACCAAAAGCCAGACCTTTGGGAGCCTGATTGGATTCAGAGAGCTGGGCTGTGCTATTGTTTTTAATACAGGTCCCTCCTCTTGGCGGGATGATGGTGATGATTCAGGCCACAGAAAATCTCTCTCCTCGTCTACTGGGATTGTCCTCTCACCTGTGTGACTCTGTCAAGCTGTGAGCGGATTTTGGTGAGCTCCTGTTTGCCGTCCTCCAGTCGAGACTTCAGCTTCTCATTCTCAGTCAGTGCATCCTCATACAGCTGATAAAGTCAAACAAACAAGGGTAGAATTCATCGGACTAATTTAGCATCTCCACTGGGAGCTGCTTTCCTGTCGCTGGTCAACAGACGACTGCTAATGGTCTGCACTGGATAAACACATTGGCATTCAGATATATACTAGTGTATTTTGATGTTACTAGGTTTGCATATATGCATTGTCCATGTCATAAAACACCATTGTCTCTGGGTATAGTATCTGAGGATTGAGGGATAATATCTAATATAATGAACATGCAATGAGTGTTTTATTAATCAAAGTTATCCTGACCTTCTTATAGTCCTTGCTGGCCGAGTCGTCCTCTGTTTTGCTCAGAGAGGCGAGTCTGTTCTCTCTGCGTGTGTAAGTGCTGGTCCGAGCTGACAGTCTGTCTGACGGAGACTCCACACCACTAGAGTCCGACCTGCTTATAACATCAATCATCAAGTATGTGTTGATCATACCAGGTTTTATGCATTTATTTACCAGTAAACAGAAGCAAATTAAATAATGCTTTTAGACAAGGAATAGAGCAACTTACCTTGAGGCCCGGTCTTGCTAAAAAAAAAAAAGAAAGTTAGATAAAATATGCTGAAGTTGAACATATAAAGGTGATAACCACATTACACTAACAAAATAAAGTACCAAAAATGTACTGCTGAATTCACTGACAAACATTTATTGTAAATTAAAATATTCTTTTAAAGTGCCCCTATTATGCCATTTTTAAGGTTCCTAATATTGTTTTGGGAGTCTCCTACAATAGGATTACATGCATGCAAGGTCAAACAATGCTTTTGTTTTCTCAAAATATGCATGTAATTTCACCTCCTCATTTCCTAACGATTCTCAAACGATTCGTTCGAAGCAGTTCTAAGATTCAGTCTCTCTAAACCCCTCCTTTCTGTGAGCCTACTCTGCTCTGATTGGTCAGATGGCCCAGTCTGTTGTGATTAGTCTACGGTTTACATTCAGATGTCGGATTTGAATTAATTACTGACGATTCGTTTATGCCGTTCAGAGTCGATTCTTTCTTTTGGGTGGCAATAACTTCATTTATCATGCACTTTCGGCTTTACAACTTTGCAGATCGTTTACATTCACATCTACAGCTACATTACACACTGCATGAAAGGCAAAATTCGAAATGACATAATAGGGGCACTTTACATTCAATTTCTATTGAAACTTGTATTTCATGTATTTAAATATATTTGTAATCACACATTTGTAATGATGAAGATGCAATTTATTACATTTAAAATATATTAACGTTAAATGTCATAAAAAGTTATACACTACAGTTAAAATTATAATCCAGTGCTTTACATGTGCTTTAGTATGTTAGTGAACACATCAAAATAAGTGTATTTCTTGACAGCACAACTTTGTAAGTTAAACCTTTAATTGACATTGTTACAATGTGCACATTCATGTATTTAAGTGTGTTAAGAAACATATTCAATGTGAATGTGAACTCTCTTTAAGTACACTTATACATATACACATTCTTATACTTTTAAGATTTGAAGTACACTACAAGTGCACATTCAATACAACTAAAGGGTTAGTTCACCCAAAAATGAAAATTAGGCTGTGTTTTACTCACCCCAGAGCCATCCTAGGTGTATATGACTTTCTTCTTTCAGACGAATCCAGTCGGAGTTACATTAAAAATTGTCCTGGCTATTCCAACCTCTATCATTGCAGTCAGCGGGTGTTGCAGTGCTTCAATCTAAAAAAAGTGAAATAAAAAGCGCCCATCCATTAAAAAAGTGTCTCAAATGGCTCCGGGGGGTGAACAAAGGCCTCCTGTAGCGAATCGATGCGTTTTTGTAAGAAAAATATCCATATCCAAAACGTAATAATCACTTTAATCTAGCTTGCGCTCACTGTTGTAAACGGAATCAGCTCCGGGAAGATGACGTATGGAGGTCAGCTTTGCGCATGCGCTGCTCAGAAGTGACACACACGGAAGCGCAGGGGAGAGATCAAAACAACTGTCATGAATTAGAAGTACAAAACAAGGATTTGTAAAGAAGAATGTCGGAGGATTTCGATATAAGCCAAGAGGAGACTAGTTGTCCTTTGCTAAAGTAAGGAAACTTTGCTTCCTTTGATCCTGTTAACAAACGTTGGTTTTCACGAGACTCACCGGCGCATGCGCAACGCTGAACTCATTCGTCATCTGCCCGGAACTGCTTCTGTGTACAACAGTGAGCGCAAGCTACATTAAAGTGATTACCGTCACGGTGTGCAGCCCGCCTCGCCCGCTGTCACAGTTCACAGAAGCGTGGCAGACGCTGCCAGGGGTATCAGGGTGGGTTATGAAATCAATAAAGAACGGCTACACGCTTCAGTTCTTCCGCAGACCGCCCCGTTTCAATGGTGTGTTAATGTCCACTGTACGGGAGCAGAATGCCTCAGTTCTGCGAGAGGAAATACACAATCTTCTCGCAAAACGCGCAGTAGAGACAGTGCCCCTTGCAGAGCGTGAGAGCGGCTTCTACAGTCATTATTTTCTGATGCCAAAGAAAGACGGCGGACTCCGCCCTATCTTGGATTTGAGACCGCTGAATCGCGCGCTTTCGAAGCGCTCGTTCAAAATGATTACACTAAAGCAAATCCTCTCACACAACAGACCGGGAGATTGGTTTATCTCTGTGGATTTAAAGGATGCTTATTTCCACATTCAGGTAGGGGTAGCATTCGAGGGGATAACGTGAGCTGCATGCCTAAGTGGTTTGGACCAGGTCGTATACACCCCTGTACTGACGTGCCACCAATCCAATGCTGCTCTCTTATCAGCTCATCACATTGTTATGATATAGTTCATCACGTCTTTTAGGACTTGATCACCATCATACTGCTTTACAACTTTGCAGATCGTTTACATTCACATCTACAGCTACATTACACACTGCATGAAAGGCAAAATTCGAAATGACATAATAGGGGCACTTTACATTCAATTTCTATTGAAACTTGTATTTCATGTATTTAAATATATTTGTAATCACACATTTGTAATGATGAAGATGCAATTTATTACATTTAAAATATATTAACGTTAAATGTCATAAAAAGTTATACACTACAGTTAAAATTATAATCCAGTGCTTTACATGTGCTTTAGTATGTTAGTGAACACATCAAAATAAGTGTATTTCTTGACAGCACAACTTTGTAAGTTAAACCTTTAATTGACATTGTTACAATGTGCACATTCATGTATTTAAGTGTGTTAAGAAACATATTCAATGTGAATGTGAACTCTCTTTAAGTACACTTATACATATACACATTCTTATACTTTTAAGATTTGAAGTACACTACAAGTGCACATTCAATACAACTAAAGGGTTAGTTCACCCAAAAATGAAAATTAGGCTGTGTTTTACTCACCCTCAAGTCATCCTAGGTGTATATGACTTTCTTCTTTCAGACGAATCCAGTCGGAGTTATATAAAAAATTGTCTTTGATCTTTCAAGCTGTTTAATGCCACTCAGCGGGTGTTGCAGTGCTTCAATCTAAAAAAAGTGAAATAAAAAGCGCCCATCCATTAAAAAAGTGTCTCAAATGGCTCCGGGGGGTGAACAAAGGCCTCCTGTAGCGAATCGATGCGTTTTTGT